TAATTGCTCTATTCTCTCACTAATATGACATTTGTTAAATTAGCAATTTGACTTTAGATTTGTTGTGCTGAGCATCACATTTTTGTACATTAAGCTCATAAAGGCCATGATTAAATTTCGATGAAAATACTAATCAGGAAAAGTAATGAAAGAATAATGTTTTCGAATAAAATTTGCAGTTAAAGCTCCGAAATTTATTTTCGAAATCACGAATTGTGTAATAGCCAGAAGAAAACATCGGATATCATATAAAGTATATAGATATACCATATATGTATAAAAGATCAGCGTGCCGAACTGAATCTATTTGGCCATGTCCGTTGGTCTGTCTGTATATGCGCGAACTAGTGTGTTAGCTTTTGAGATATCGATCTAAAATATTGCGTACCTATAGAAACCATAGAAACTGAACGATCAAAACAAAGTATGAAAAATCTTTTATTTGACAAGATATCTACATGAAATTTGACATAGATTATTATTCAAGACAACGGTACAATCTCCAAACAAATTGTCCATATCGGACCACTATAGCATATATGTAGCTGACATAAAAACTGACCGATAGCAATCCAGTTCGCTGCAACCGAAGCTAAGTTGTTTTTTCTTTTTGTTATTAATTAAAATTAACATATGAATACGAATTGCATTGACTAGAGAAGCCAACAAATCGGGTACATTATTGCCAGTCTTAAACAAATTTCGCAAAGCTTCTCGCCCAAGCAAAGCACGATTTTCAATACAAATATAGTTTACTCTCAACATTCATTTACATTTAATTTCATGCCATTTGGTGAACTGGTTAAACGTGTTACCGGCAAGCGAATGCGATCCCCAATGTTGTACTAGAAAAATCGAAATCAAGTGAGCTCTTCAAATACACATTAACAACACATTCACAAGCCTTTGCGACAAGCTCATCTCAAGGCTGCCAAACCAGGTAGTGAAAGACAAAATAACCTTAAATCAACGTACATATGTATATACTCGTAAGTAGCTTGCGAGCGTTTTAGAATATCACTGTGTTGACCCGTAGTCTTCTGCCTACAAACCGCCTTTTGCACACGCACGCACACACATACGATGCGAAATATATCATGAACTGATAATTGTACTTTCAATTTTACTGTAATCCGCTGCACCCCTTACCGCTTGTCTTTGTTTACGCGAACAACGCCTTGTGGTCTCTACTACTGACCACCTCCTGTTTTCTGGAGTAGCGTTCTTACATAAATTACCTTTTCTTGTTGCTGTTGTGTCATTGCCAAGGCACAGATTTCTCATTTTAAGCGTATTTTATGAATTTATTTTTTACGATATTTTAACAACTCATAATACAGCAATTTTCACGTGTCGCTGTCGGTATCCAGTTACCCAAAAACTGGTCTGCTAGCGCCTTGCGTGCCCTGCCAGCTTAACCCTCTCACTACCGATTACCACGGCTTTATGAAGACCAGCCTTACCTTGCACACTACACTCATATATATATATATATATATATATATATACTTGTATATATATATACTTGTATATATATTTTTAAACCCATACACATGTAGTTACAAATTTTCCCTTCCTTCCGGTCAGCTATTGTCCAAGCTCTCTTCATATGATCATCCTGTGTTATTTTAAGAGGCAGCCTTTTTTACATTCTTAAACATATCACTCCCCTAAATAATTTACATAACAATGGAACTCACCGTTTTCTTCTAGACTTTGGAAATGTTTCCTGCCGCTGTTGCTTCTTTTGACTGCTGCTGCTATTTCTAATATTTTCTTAAGTGGCAGGCTTATGAAATTGATCGCTCGTTATTAACCCTGAAGTGTGTGGAGAACTTGAAATTCACGGTTTATTTATTTTTGCTTTTATTTACAGCAGTTTTTATATCTGTTTGATGAAGGGAGAGCTGGCTAATTTGTTTTGGTGGTAAACTTCGTTTATGAGCTAGTTGCCGCCCAATCTTTGTTTGCACTGAAAGCTTTTTATACGCTAAAAGATATGCTATACCCAGAGCATCACTGCGAAAAGTGATACATATTTATGTTGTAGTAAGACTTATATTATACGAAGATTTTCGAACATATGTAAAAATTAAGAAATATGACTGCTTTCTTAAAGCTTCTAAATAGCCTCAAAGCACTTTGGAGCTTTTTATGCCATTAGAGCTTTTCTAAAACCAAATATTGACAGCATAATGGAAAATTTAACTAAAACAACCCACTTAATAACATAAAAAGCAAAATCTGCGAATCTACGTTGCCTCAAATTGGCTTATGCACACAAAAGTTGACTTTTCTGCTGCCAAGTGACGCCGTCACTGCAATTGTTGCATGTCAATAAACCCATATTGTGCATCGCCTGCTTGTGTTGACATTGACAACTCCACGAAATCGTCGCGCCGAAGGCTATACTTTGCAACACCCGCCATTTATAGGCAAATGCAAGTTTGTCAGGCAATTTGACTAGGCTTTGGGCATGCGTCACCATTGCCACAACCTGATTTGCAAGCTTTTCTTTTATGGGCAAACCAGCTATTATACGCCTGCGTACGCTGCTGATGCTTTTGACAAACTGCGCACGCTTAAATTTTTATAATTTGCTTATAGGTATATATTATTTGTTTATATAGACAGCCTGTGCCATTCTTGACATAATCAATTTCTTTGCGACCGCCCACAATAAGCAGTAAAGATCTGTGACATTGACAAGTAAAATGCTTAGAACGTTTTTGACAACTTTGACAGCATGATGTTCACTAAAGTGTATAAATCAGAATCTTTTGTTGTTTATTTAAATGCAATATTGATTTTTGGCAGTCTAAAAATATATTATAATTTACGTACATTTAAATGAATTATATAATTATTCATATATAGTCACAACTGCCTGAAACTTGTTATATATATTCCCTGTCAAAAGTGAAAACTATATGATTATATAATATTTCTACACTCAGAAAGTTTCGAACCGATGCAAAAAGTTAAAACGCAGACCTTTAGAATACAGTAATAATTTTCTATTATTCTCTACCATATGATTTACTTGAGTCTAAGAAAATCAAGCAATTTCGCACTCGTATGACCGCATGTAAAGAAGTACGAGTACGAATTCCGCCTGGTGCAACTCGCTCGCTAAATATATATGCATACTACTGACGACATACGATGACATGTGATGTTTGCTTGACAGCATCAAGCAGCTGACACACTTGCGAATTCGCAATGCTACTTGAAACGTCACACAATGACGAACACAAAGAAAAAAAGAAAATAGTTGCAAAAAATCAGCAAAAGCAACACAAAAGACTGCAAATGGAAGTTGTAGAAAAATTGCGCTTTTCCAAATCGAACAATACGAAATTTATTGTCTTTCAAGCAACTCAACAAGATCAAGCCGTGCAAATAAAGGGCGAAATAAAAGTTACAAATTTGCCGAAAAATTGAAACTGTAGCAACGCATTTAAATCACGAGAGTGTCCAGTCAGCAAGTAAGCAATTGTTAACTGTAAAGAAACTCAGACACTCGTTGCCCTTCTGGCAGACTAACTGGCTTTGTGTGAGGACCAGCGTGTGAGGATAATATGTTGCGTGATGATTGCCTGCCTGTCTGTGCGTCTAGCTGTCAATCAAAGCCATGATGGACGCATAAGCGCAAGACGTCTGTTACTATTAGAGCATAAGTGTGTATTCCACAGAATGAGCAGCAACTGAGGCAAAGCAATGCAGGAACATAAGTACGAACAATTGCAATGAAAGAAACAGCTAATAGTGACATACTGCGTTGAAGAGTATTGGTAGGAGCGGCACACAAAGGATATATATCTCAAAGGCAATTCAGCATTTGCCTGCCATAGCTCGGCAGTATGTCATTCATGAGTTTGTGCTTTATTGTCGGAACATGGCTACGCCTTGCAAAACAAAGACACTGCTAATTGTGTATGTAGGTAAAAAACTTCTGGCTGCTAGTTGAAAAACGGCAGTAAACACGAGGAAGTCGAAAACAAGTTACTTCTTAAAAATACATACATACGCGTCTCATAGTAACGAGCTTGATCCACTGGGCTCCGTAATACTCAAGCTAGAGTGGCATAACAAGAGAGCGTAGATGTGAGACGCGCTTGTTGGTTGCTCATGCGGCATTAACTGTTTGTTGTAGCAAGCGTAGACGTACGGATGTGCCCTACGTAAGCTGTGTGTGATGTCAATAGGCTGCTGGCAATTGTCAGTGTTGCTTATTTTTCGGGCCGTTCACTGAACTTGCGACGCCAGGTACATGAGCTTTTGAGTAGGAAGTAATAATTCGCTAGTTTTCACACAAACACTCAAACATATATGATATAAGATAAATGTGTGTGCAAATGTATTATTTTCCTAGAAAAAAACTGGCAATTAAAAGCAATGATTTTTATTTAATTTAAATTTTTCTCACATTTGCTAGAATTGGACTTAGTTACTTTAATCTTTTCATTTATTGCTCTCTGAAATAGTGTCAAAATGTCATTGCTGACAGCTGTCATAAAATGTGAGGATTACTGGCTATTATGTTGTTGGCAAAATGTAAATGTTTGTAGATTTTTACCATATTTTCTAGCAGCAGTGAATACGACAAATTAAATGCTTATAAGACATTTGACTTTACTCGCTGATATTTGTATAATTGACATGTACGATTGTCAGCACTTGATTACAATTAGCATACATATTTTTGAATACAAGCATACGTACATACAAATTTACTTATTTTATATTCATAGAAGCTTGGCTGCACACATAGCATACTAATTGGCTGCATATTTTGGTAATTTGAATAAATTCTTTATAAAGAATAGATTTACCAATAAGTACCTAAACAAAACGCCAAAAAAAAAGTTTGGCCGCGATTTACACAGAACGTTTTGGTATGCGCGGTAATATGAAAATTACTAAAAAACATTTTCTCTTTTGCAAAACAAAAAATGTATATTAATTTTTTCATAAAATATTTTGTTTGTATTTTACAGACTCTTTCGTAAACAGTCAAGAATGGACGATCTCACGTTCAGTGCCCGACTTGCGCCTAGGCATAGTTGGTTCATTGAACTCCGGCAAATCAGCTTTAGTGCATCGTTATTTAACTGGTTCCTATATGCAAGAGGAGTCGCCTGAAGGCGGTCGCTTTAAGAAGGAAGTATTCATAGATGGCCAAAGTTATTTATTACTCATAAGAGATGAAGGCGGACCACCAGAAATGCAGGTAAGCACACATATTTATATTAGTTGTAAACAAAGAAAATTGTAACTTGTGCAAAATTAATCGAAGTACTATTATGAGTCTCTCGCTTTTAATTTTACTCTACAATATAATTATAAATAGTAACGCCGTAAAGATAACAAAAGCAGTCAAGTAGAATTAAATTGATTGTGAAAATCTTGAAATTTTCTACTTAAGTAGTTTATGATCTCCCAAAATACTTTGCCAATTTACGTTAGCTATTAAAAGACCTCTATCAGCAGGTAATAGCTTCGGCGCCATAATGCGTGCTATGTTTTCGCATAGTTTTTACTCGCTTATAAATAGCATACATTTAGGCTTGGCTATTCGCTCAAAATAAATGTATTAAAATCGATATCAAAACTTTTACGTAATAAACTACGTAATTGTTGATGTATTTCTTCTTTATACACACAGCCATATAAAGCTAAATAGATATATTGTTTCATGTGTGCTAATTTTTAAATGCATAACGCTTCACCAAGCAACACAAATATATATTTTATCATATTCAAGCTATTAACGTGACGTAGTCTGCAAAATTGTGTAAGCGATGCAATTAATGGGTGTGTTTTTGGCGGCAAAGTTTTTTATGACTTCATTTCTGTTGTAATAGCATTGTGAAGAAAATTACTTGTATTGTCTCCATCAAGTGTCTACTTGTCAAAAACATACCATAAAGTTTTAAATCTTAATCAATTTGGTTCTTAGTTATTACTCTCACTCGTTAACTCTCAGACAATATTAAAACTCATTTGCCCTTATTTAAGTCAAAAGCTCAAATTCAAGTGTAAAAAACCATCACTGAAAGCTTCCTCCTTCCTGTTATTTGCTTTTGTTGAATCGGTTGTGTGTATTGCTGTACCCAGACGACCTCATGGAATTGAAAGTAATGTCTAGTAATGTCTCCTTCTGGCAAAACAATGTCTCCTTCTGCTCTACTTACATATCTTCATAAGCAATTTGCTTAATGTTTGCTTCAAGAACTACATTTAATATTTGCTTTTTACGTTACTTTGGCGGAACGTCTAGAATATGATTGTTATATTGGAAATTTTGTTTGTATAAAACTGTTACGTAAATTATTTATATAAACTTAGTGCTTCATTACTTCCATAAACTGTCAACAATAACACATACTTGTATATTTGTTTGAAAACTTTCTGAGTTGCACTCATTTTTATTCACAATCCATATAACTCATTAAGTTTGGCTGCTCTGCGCGCACAAGTACATACGGAAACGCATACAAACGCATACAAACGCACACACACTCACACAAAACAGTTTCCTATCCAACAAACACAGTTTTTTTTTTTCTCCATTTACTTTGTAATGCCGTTACACAATGCTACTACTTCTTCCTCTACGCTTGACTGAGTGAGACTCGGTGAGGCAAAAGTGCTAAAGGTTTGCTCGTGCCTTCGTTATTTTCTACACAAAAGTGCTGTTTTTTTTGTTAACTTTAGGTATAAAACCCATTGACTATTATATTTTTACGGCGTCAAAGGAAATTATTACTACAATAGTCTGCAAAAGTACCAAAAACTTTGTAAGGAATATGTGCTAAAGCACAGTTGTTTGCACCACTTTAAATAAACCTTCAGTCTGGAACAAAATACTTTAAAGTCACATTTTTCTTAGCAACAGAAAGTATCGCAAGAATAATATTCTTACTATATGAATAATCTGTCTCATAGCATTTCTTCTCTCACTCTTCTGCACTTTTAATCATTTATCATCCCAAGTCATTGTGAGTTTGCTCTCGCGAAAGAAAAGCCTCGAGGATTGGGCACTTTGGGGGTGTAAAGTCAAACTAACAAAGTGTTTTCAATTGCAAATGATCCGAATTTAGGTCAATTGTTGTCCTTTTTGTTATTTACGATACATAGATTCTACTCAAACTTACAACCTCATATACTTAAAATGCAGAGGGTGTGCTTTTGTCTTTGGAACTCGGGCGTATTTTTTTTTTTTTGGCATTGTTCGAATACGTATGAGAAAAACAATAAAACTGTATGTCATCACAATAATGCGAGCATAAAACAGAAGCCTTATTTCGTAGTCGTTTTTGTCAGTAAAATGCCTATGCGAAGAATGCTAGTAGAATATATACTACCATATAGCTATATTTCATATTTCACAGCGCAAGCTGCCATTGTGTTAACTCGCTTCTTACTTTTATTTTCTCTGTTTGCTATTGGGTTGTACTAAGAGAGTTTTATACATAAGTTTACAAGAATACTAAGTTTATTGACTTTTTGCATTGTTTTGCTTGACTTTACCATATTTAGGTTAGGATGCTTCGGGAGATTTGAAAATTCCGTTTTTTGGAAAATGTATAAGAAACGCTGCAAATTTATAGAAATTATTGTATTAAGAAACAGTATATATTAATCTCTTTAATTAATAACTCTTGCCATAAGCTAATCACTCTCACTTTGTTAACCTTTAAGCTTGTTACAATAAAAGACAAATTTCCTTAATCCAATTAGATGTATTGTTTCTACTTATTGTGGGTGTCAAGTTTCAAATACAACAATGTGATCAATGAAGGACAAGTTGTTAATTAAATTCACAATTTGTATTTGTGTGTATTGTGAAATATTACTAAAGCTTTCAGAATTATATAAGCTCTCACTCTTTGCGTACAGAGCTTTTATAGAAATTAGCAAACTTTTTTTATATGAAGTAATAATCGACCGATTTGTTTTTTGTGTTCTCGTGATGGTCATATATTTTAAGGGCGAAAAATAATTCTGCTCAAATATAAACGAGACTTTATCCATAACTCGACAAGGACATGACATATGGCCATACTTTTTTTTGCTTAGGTTGGCAGGACTGTTATATGTTTACGTGTCAAATTTGAGCGCGATCTGTCACATAGTTTTTTTTTTACGGCACTATAAACAAGTCAACCTCGAGTGTGTTTTTCGAATTTTACTATGGAAATTAACGTTGAGCAAAAAGTGTTTGTTTGAAATTTTGTTATTCCAATGGAATAAGTGCGACGGACGCAATGAAAATGTTGCAGAAGGCATATGGGGAGTCTTGCCTATCACGTGCACGTATTTTTGATTGGTATAAGTCGTTCAAGGACGGCCGTACATCGCTGGAGAACTTGCCCCATGATCGTCGTCCAGCAACGTCAATAAACGAAGAAAACGTCGAAAAAGTAGAGGAAATTGTGTTGGAAAATCGTCGTGTGACTAAAAGAGAGATAGCTAAAGAGCTCAACATATCAAATGGATCCGCTCATAGCATTATTTACGATGTTTTGCGCATGAGACGTGTGTCTGCTCGACTTGTTCCAAAATCCAGCTCATACGCCTCGTCTTGCACGCGATTATTTGACCAAAAACAACGTAAATATTGTTCCACAAGCACCGTATTCACCCGACATGGCACCGTGTGACTTTTTTCTTTTCCCTAAACTCAAATTGCCGCTTCGTGGAAAGCATTTTCAGTCGATTGAAGTCATAAAAGAGAATTCGAAGAAGGAACTGAAAGCCATACCTAAAGCGGCCTACCAGAAGTGTTAGGAAGATTGGAAAAAAAGGTGGCATATGTGTATCGCCTCTAATGGTGACTATTTTGAAGGGGATAAAATAAATATTGAAGAATAATTAACCGTTTTTGTTTTATTGAGCCAGTCTCGTTTATATTTGAGCTCCATATATATATGGAGAGAGAATTGATGGTCTCCCAAATATTTATTTTTATGGTAAAATTTTTCATCAAATTTCATAAAATATGAAAATCCAATAAATATATATAAGTACAATATAATACTTATTTACTATGCTTAACATTCCATTGTCTTAATATGACGTCGTAGTAACAAAGCTATGTCCGGTTCACTCTGCAGGAAACAGCAAAAAGCACAAGTTCATTCACTTTCATTTATACAAATGTCTCACTACTACCAAAGTAAATGCAAATCCGATTAAATTTCTTGAAGTAAACACAAATAGATATAAACCACACGAACCCACGACCGACTGGTGCCTACAAAATAAGCTTTCATCGGTTACATGCCTATAAATATACCACAACCGCATTGCTCGCATTGTGTGCACCACCCTCACCATTTCTCTCATTGTTCATTTACTCGGCGCACATGACAGGTCGTCTGAGCTAGCTGTCTGTCTTCATTTTACCGTATGTGGAGAGGTATTTAGAATTATTAGGTATTCACTTAACCAAAGAACACACAAAGAGCTCTAATGTAAGCCGCCAGAATAAGGTTACCACAAAAAATTATACAACGCCAGTGACAAGCGATGTCATGACCTAAGAAATGAAATTTAGATACGGCTAATAAATACCAGAGCACTTAGTAAATACCAAAGCAGCTTTAAAAAAAAACTTATTGGAACATACAAATTGATTTCCCACCTAAAGAGGAAATACTAGTAAATTTAAACAACACTTTGACGCATTTAGCCGAAACCCTTCAGTAGCTTTAACATTAAATTCAAAACACAAAAGCGTGAAACCCGTAAATTCGCACATATTGACCCTTGTGCGCCTCGATCGGGTGTTTATTTGCAAAGTGTCAAAGTGTGAACGCGGCACTACAAAGGGCCAACTGTCACAGCACCACTAAACACATTCAAACACGACAAACAAGCGGCTTAAAGCCAACAAACCGCAGCAAATGAGACGGCCTGGGTTAAGTATTCATTAAAAAGCGGCGTTGGCCGAGTGCTGGGGTGGGTGCGTTTTTTTCGCCAGTCTGCAAATGCCTAGAATGCACAATGGTCGGTCAACCGTTGTGCTGTAGCTGTGGCCGGCCATATAACACGCTTCACATGACAAGTGAGTACCTACATATGTATGTGTGACAAGTAACTGCAATTAAGTGGGGGCCGCATGTATGCGGGTCTGCCGCACAAACGCATCGATGGCAAATCAATTGCGGCATTTTAGGCGCTCAAGCAGTCGGTTGACTGGTGGTGCACGAACGATATGATTGC